TTGACTCCACTCCAAGAAGACAAACGATCCAGTCAAAAAATGGGCAAAGGACCTGGGCAGACACTTTTCCAAGGAGGAGATACAGAGGGCCCAGAGACATGTGAAAGGAGCCTCAGCATCACTAGCCAGCAGAGAAATGCAGATCAAAACCACAATGAGGTACCACCTCACACTGGTCAGAATGGTCATCATAAACAGATCCACAAACAACAGGTGCTGGCGAAGCTGTGGAGAAAAGGGAACCCTAGTCCACTGTTGGTGGGAATGCAGATTGGTGCAGCCACTGTGGGAAGCAGTGTGGAATTTCCTCAGAAAGCTGAAAATGGAACTGCCTTTTGATCCAGCGATTCCCCTGCTGGGACTATACCCTGAGAACACCAAAACACCAATACAAAAGAACCTATGCACCCCAATGTTCATAGCAGCACAATTTACAATAGCCAAGTGCTGGAAGCAACTTAAATGCCCATCAGTAGATGATTGGATCAAAAAGTGATGGTACATATACACAAGGGAATACTACGCAGCAGAAAGAGAAAAAGAAGTTCTAAAGTTTGCGACAGCATGGTAGGAACTGGAGAGCATTATGCTAAGTGAAATAAGCCAGGGGGCAAAAGACAAATACCATATGATCTCACCTATAAGTGGACCCTAACCAACAATACAAAGATGCAAGGAAAATAAGACCAGCAACACTGAAAGGAGAAGAAACCAACAGAGACGGGGGGTGGGGGGGGACGGGGAAAAGGAAGGGAAGGGGATAGTCAAGGAACATATAGCAAGGACTCATGGACAAAACCAAAGGGGAAGAGCTGAAGGAGGGAGGTCGGGAGGGGGCAAGGGAAAGTGGTGGGGGGGTAGGCAGAGACAAATGTATTTAAAAAATAAATTTAAAAAGATTTAGAAGTATAAATAAATAGATTAATTACTACATTAAAAAAAAGAACATACAGATTCAGGAATAAATTCTAATCTCATGAAATAAAAGTTTTGCATTTTCAGTAAATACATTATCCTAGCTATAGTCCCATTACCCTTACTATTGTTTTAGGTCTTCTATTTTAAAGGGCTTGGTATTATTACTATATATATCTTTTTCTTTTTTTTTTTTTAATCATAAACAGGGTCAAATATCCTTTGGACATACACAAAATGAAGGTAAAAAAAAAGGAAAGTAATTCAAATAAAAGTCTTTTGGATATTAACTGTAAGTCCTGGCGTTTGCAATTTTTGACTGTTATTGAGTCATGTATGCAGTTTATGTATTATAATGAAAGGACTTAAAGGAAAAGTAAAGAAAATCCCCTAGGACAAAAATATTGATGAAAGAAATTTTTTTTCTGCAAGAATTCAATTTTTTTTTTAAAAAAGTATTCACATTTTTATAAAAATAACATGTCAAAGGGTTAGTCTTCTATACCCTGCCTTTCTGCTCATCTTTATTTTTCGAGGTCTGAATCCAACTCCCTTTCTTTCTGAAGGCTATCAATTCCTTCCTTCCATATTAATATTTTATAAAAACGTTTACAAGATCTATGATGGAACCATTAAAAAATAAAACTTCATCACATTTTTAACTTCACCTTAATTCAAACACAAACTACTTAAGAATAAGGCGATTTATAAATACCTACTTACTGAATGCCTATTATATTTACCTAGTTATGATATTATTGAAGATATTAGATCTTAGGTTTTGAAACGTGACTCAATTTCTTATGGTTGGCTCCAGAAATGATGTAAAGGGAGCGGGAGTAAGACAGACTGACTTAACATCACCACTTACAGGAACATGGGAGAAATTCCCAGAAATAAAGCAGACCTCCCTGTTGTTCAGGAACTCTGACACATTTCCTTTTCATTGATGAACTCATGAAAAGCTGCCTTTTCTTACTGTGCTGACTGCACAGTGTGTTTGCCCAGTGGCTTCTCCAGGTAGATTCTGAGCAGAATGTCACAGGTTTACACTTGCATCTCAGGACTCACGCTGTTCTAGGGATGACTTATTGGCAGCAGTATATGTACTAAATCTCCTAGTCAGTTCCTGCTAAGCCTTCTCATCTTTTGTTAACCAAACAGGGAAGGTTTAAGACAACAGGTAAATCTTCTAAGCTTCCTTGCACTTAGCTACAGTACTTTGGGGAAATATTGTTAAAGGAACATTAGCTATGATTCTTTTATATGTTCTTTTATACGGGGATTTCTCTTACACTGCCATGCTGAGATAGTGTTTACTGTGCTTACTCACTTGACTCATTTGAGGTAGGGCTAAAACATTCAGTATTCCAGGTTCAAAACTATCCTAAAGATATTTCCTGGATGAGATTCCGTAGGTGACCTGTTACCTATACCATTGGTTCTGGTTTAACTTTGGCATTAGAAAAGCTTCCTGGACGGTCAGCACTGAGACAAATGACAGCTCCCTTAATGCAGTCCCTGCCCCTCTCCCACCCACAGGGCCCAGCCTCTGGCCATGGTGCTGACAGATTTTTCAAGTGAAGTTCACTGTAGTATCAAAAGGTGGCAAATGATGATTAGAATTTTTAAAAAGTATTAGAACTAAGAGACACACACTCCAGTGTCACGAGTTCCACCTTATAAAAGAACTACAAGGTTGTCAAAAAGATGACAGGACAGTACTGACATTCATTCCTACCATCTGCCCCTGAATTCAGTGATATAGGACCAGTAGTTAAGGGACCAAAAACCTAAGAGTTAGCCTCTCTACTATCACATGGCTCCCAATTTTCTGAGTCATCCAGAGTTATGCTTCACCAATAATTCCCATCATCTACTTCCTTTATATACTCTGAGATGCTCAGAATGTACACATCTGGGAAGCACAGAGAAGATGGATGATGGCAGAGTACAACCTGGGCTATTTAGCCATGCTAGGAAAGAAAGCGAGCAAGGAGAGAAGAAAAGCCCTGGGATAGCACAAATTTAAATACTATGAAAGACTGTAGTTGAATCTCCAAAGCAGTCAGAAAGCACACTATTCTAACGAGACATCAGCTAAGGCACTGTAAAAGGTGAAAGTCTGCAACTCACTGAGAAGTGGATTCAGAGACCAGGATACCAGTGCTCTGATCCACTCCAGGCCTTGGCAAAGGAAGGGACAATGTGGGAGCACCAACTATAACGTGTTCCTAAAAAAACGGAATCTTATAGTTAGATAAAGTATCAAAGAAAACTTGCCTGAGCTAACAATATCGGAGTCCCAGGCAAGTCTAATTTGGGGAAGAGGGTGGAAGGGAGGACCCACACCTAATTGTATCATGGCACAATATCTAAATTTTAAGATAAAATTAGCCACTTTCACATACAATTCTATATATTAGAAAAAAATGATAAAGTTTGAACACTATGTAAAAACTTTAGTATGTATATAAAGTCTGAAATGCTATACACTACTCTGTAGTTAAAAAAAAAATAAAAGAGAAGAAGCTGTCATATAAGAGAAACTTCTACCTTGTATTATGTATTCTTATATACTGATTAAATTTGTTCAGTGAACTTTTAAATTAAAAAACGAAATGTGTCAAAATTATAATGCTTACATGATCAGACTATATCTTATTATTAAAACAAGAATCACGTTTCAGTTATGCAACATGAATAAATTCTGGAGATGTAATGTACAGCAATGCAACTATGGTTAACAATATAGTATTATACACTTGAAATTTGCTTAGAGGATAGATCTTAGGTTTTGTCAAACTTAAAAGAAATTATACCTATGTGAGGTGCTGGATATGTTTAATAGCGTGACTGAGGTATTTCACAAGGTGTGTATATTGAAACATCAAGTTGTACACCATAAATATGTATTGTTTTCAACTTGTCAATTATACTTCAACAAAAATGAGAAGCAAGATTTATACTTCAACAAAAATGAGAAGAAGCAAGAAAAATAAATACAAAATTCTCATGTTTAATTTGGTATTGTTATTTAAGAATAAAATCAGGAAGGAGGGAGGGGTGGGCGGGGAAAAGGAAGGGAAGGGGCAAGTCAAGGAACATATAGCAAGGACTCATGGACAAACCTAAAGTGGGGAAGGACTGAGGGACGGAGTGGGGAGGGGGGAAAGGGAAAGTTGTGAGGGGTAGGCGGAGACAAATGTATTTGAAAAAATAAATAAATTAAAAATAATAATAAAATGTAGAGTTGAAAACAAACAAAAAAGAATAAAATCAATATAGCTTTAATATAAAACAATCTTTTCCACTTATTTTTGAAAGATTCTACTATGCGGGATTTATCTAGCAATACTGTTCAAATATGTTGTTAAACCTCCTCTTCCTCTCCCCCGCAACTGAATGTTTCTTGTCAGCATAAGATAAACTGATGCAAATATGTTAAGCTGATATAACAATGGGCTGTACAAGTTAGGCTATTCAATTTAAATGTAGGTAAATTTACAGAGTCCACAGGTTTAGTAAATCTTTAAAACAACACGTAAAGGTGCCGCTGTAGCTAAGAACCTCAGGGACCCAGAGATTCCAACATGGAATTCACCAATGTATATAATATAACCACAAGTGCCATACTGTGGACTGCCTCTTAATAAACACAATCAGATAAAAGCTCAAGTCCTTTTTGAGAATTGGAGGGGAAAAAAAAGCAACAGATAGGTACGTATGAATCATTAAGCTAATATAGTGCTAAATTTATAAAACAAAAAAATTAAGTTCTATGATGGAAATGCATTAAGAAAATAACAAAATATAAATCATATATAAATAAAACAAAAATCTCACTAAAGTTCTTTTGAGAGAAAAAATTCAGGAGATATGCTATTTCAACAGTTTTTTAAAAGAAGAAAATATGCACACGTAAAAAAATGTATAATTTGTTATTTATGCATTTTTATGCCACAGTACATTATTAGAAGCTTTGTGCTAGTTTAGAAATTTTAAGTATAAGTTTTAATTGCTTTCAAATGGCATAGCAAGACACAAAAATTAGTTTAAATATTACTGCTTTTGTTCCAAGTTACCTGAACATTCTCATTCCATTTGTCAGCAAAAAGCTTATCTGGAACTTCCGCAGGTAGAGATAATTGTTCTTTAAATATTTTAAGATACTGTGGAAAACCAAATGAATTCATTAAGTGTATCTGGCGGTGAGAAAATCGTGACTTCACTCTTTTTTCTAAGAGTTCCAAAACATCCTTAAAACAAACAGAAATTCCAGTAAGAGGCATGTTAAAAAAATGTTGTTAGAGTTACAATTATTTAAACTATCACCTGTGATTAGCAATGTTTATCCTATAATACACAATTAAGTATACAAAAAATTTAGGAAAGCCTCTAAAAACTCAAATTATTCCCTTGATCTCCTTATGGTTACAAGACAATAAAATTAAGAGAGTATGGCTTGGAAATAAACCAAGACTCTAAAAAATTTTCTATGCACGCTACTTTAATCTACTTGTAAGCATCTGTAGGCCTGGTAATGTCATGTCATTTACATATGATGTTATTCTCAGCTAATTTTTAACATCCCAAGACCTACAATAATTGCTAAAAAAAAACCGTATTATTGAGTAGTTATATGTCATAGTAACATTAAGTGTTTCAATAAGGAATTTTGTACATTCTACAAAGAATTCAGATAAAAAGATGTTAAAATGTATTAAAACATTACATTCATGAAAATTTAAACATCATCTTTATTGTTTTATGTAACAAAGACTAAGTAGCAACATGTGTAATGGAGAAAAAAAGTTCAGTTCACTAAAATATACAAGCCAAGAAGCCACACTAGACTAAAGGAACAAACTGCATAAGAGGAAACTGGCAGAACAGAGCACCGACAGTGGTAACTTACTGTCTTACTGTCTACTGGCTTTTTAATAGTGCTATTTTAGAAACTACTTATATTTGTGCTATTTTTCTTTATGAAGTTAGAAATCATGTTTACTTTCAATTTTCTAAAATTAAAAAGTTTAAAAAAAGCAGCTGTGGTGAGGCCCAGAAATAGGGATTTTTAAAGCTACTCAGATGATTTTCATATAATAGCTAGGTTAAGAAATAAGTTATACAGACGAAAGGTTTCAAGGGCTCAAAGATCATGGTCAGTTTCGGAAGGAAGACTGGAAAGATTAATAGATTGGGGTTGGAGGGAAGAGGGCGAATGAAAAACCTGGAATGTTTTTATAGCTTAAAGAAAAATAATGTAACAGAGAATTAAAGAAAGTTAAGTTTAGAGAAAGAAATATTATACATTTATTTTCTATTAAGGAGCAGCTCTACACCAACCATATAGGTAAGTGGCTGAAAGGCTATGTAAGTAACACACTCTGTAAGCAATAACCAGGAACCTACATTTGGGAATGGAAAGATGAATGTAAAAGGTTATTTTAGTGGTGGACAGTAATGACAGAAATTGACAATGTGAGGATAAAGAGGTCAGTAAAAAAAAGGCATTGCTTCCACAAGGGAAGAGGTTTTGTGCTCACAAAGTCACTACTTCATTTGTCCTTTTGCTTTTTCCCTGTAAGCACAGACACACATACTTGTTCGAGAACGACACATACAAAACAAAACAAACAAAAAGAAAAGAGCCTCTGATAACACTGCTAAGGAGCTACTGACCCTTTATTTGCTCCTTCCCTAGGTCAGTAACATTTGACACTGCCACTTCCAACGAAAGGAAGATTTTTTTTTAGCAAGAACAAACATGCCTCAAACAGACTGCTGCTTTTGGCAAGGAGGAATAAAGATATCTGGAGAACCAGAGAGATGTTCTATGAGGGGGGCTAATTATAAAAGCATACATCATAAGGTCTGGAGCACTGGGGAAGGAGGACAGAGAAAGCCACCCCATAGGAACAGCAACAGAAAAAGAAGTATTGAAAGATGACTTTGTAAAAAGTTTCACTTTTCTAAAAAAGACAAAGAACTATAAAAAAGGAAATTAAGTAAATGACTAAACCTGCATGTTAAAAAACAATAAGTTATTGCTTTATTTCCAGAGGTGTGTACTTACGAAGTTAAAATTGTATCATTCTGAGTTGATTCCAAACATTTTCAAACTATGGAATCATCAATGTAAACAAAAACTATTAGTCACTTTAATCAAATGGTGATAAGATTATTTAACTTTCTCTTTATATGCTAATGTAGAAACTATATTCATTAGCATAATATGCCTTCACATTTTTTAATTTAGTGATTGCATCAGAGGGATGAAGGTGTTAGTTTATGAGCAAGTGTGATAACTGTTTTCTTATTTACCTCAATCTATGCACCAGGCATCTGTGAAACACATTTGAAAAATGCCTAATATGAACATGATGACCTACATAAGTGTCTATGTTGATAATTAAGCTTTAATTTTATAGATACTGTAACTAATTTTTTAATAGAAAGACTTACCAATCTACATGTAAGACCAATAACTGCTATTGGAGTCTGTGCAGACTGTGAAATGTCAAAAAGGTTATAGAGGAGTGTCTGGTTTCTATGATGAGCAAAAAGATCAAATTCGTCTAATATGAAGATCACTGGACAACTACTCATCCGGTCACCTAAGATTTAAAATAAAGCGTTTTCTATATTAATAAGTAATTATATCAAACTTTGTTAAATTTCTAAAATATTTACATTTCACTTTTTAAAACTTAATTCAACAAACAAATTTTGATAACCTACTTTGAATAGGGGACTTACCAGCGCAAGCACATTTATTCAGCAAATTAAACTATTCACAGGATAAGATAACCTTATTTCGGTCTAGTAGTCTGCTGATGAAAAGTTAAGAAAATCATTTAAATACTGGAGACTATTGTTTTTAAAATTATATAAGCATAGTTCTTCCATCATCAGAAAATTTACAAAGTCCTTTGAATACCTACAGAGACCAAATCACTTTGAGGTTATATATTGAGTCACTAATTTACGCACAAAACTATTATTTCAGAAGAGATTTGTTTGAGTAGTAGAAATGCAAAGTATATCTTCCCACAGCAAAAGTTTTTATAAATAATGGTAAGTCTATGAAGTTCAATAAAAACCACTATATTCCTTCTATCCACAATTTTAAGACTTCAAACAACAGGGAAAAGTTCAACATGACTCTGTAGATTCATTTTTCTCATCACAATGGAGTCTACTTTAGCAAAAGAATCACTACCACCATAAGGTTTAATGCTTTTTATTTGCACAAACAAGCAGAAAGAAAATCTGATAAGGGTACACTCATTCCAACATATAATAAAAAACACTTAACGTTAACCTAAATGGCATGAGTTTCAGAAGAACTGCTCAAAATTTAGAAACATCTACATAATTAGAAATTTAGTATTGGTAAAATACACCATTAGATATCAATGAGGAAAAGTGGTTTATTCAAGGTTAGAGCTCCATTTTACACCTTACCAAAATGAATTCCAGCCAAAATATTAATTACAAGTATGTTAGATGAAAACATAATCGATCATCCTTAAAATCTGAAGAGAAAAAATTTTGACTATGTAAAAATGTTAAAAGTTCCATTCAGTAGAAAATCCAAACTAAATTTAAAAGAGAAATATTAAGTGCAAGAACACCCATAAGGAGGTCCTGACCAGGTAGCTCAGTTGGTTAGAACGTTGTCCCAATTTGCCAAGGTTGCAGGTTTGATCGCTGGTCAAGGCACACACACAAATCAACCAATGAATATATAAATAAGTGAAACAACAAATTGATATTTCTTTCTCTCATTCTTTCTTTCTCTTGCCTCCTTCCCCTCTCTCTCTCTCTCTCTCTCTCTCTCTCAAATCAATCGATAAAATAAAAAGAATTCCTATAAGTAAATACAAGCTAAACACCAAAATAAGGCAAAGAACCAACAGGAAATACACAAAGCAGGAAATATCAGTGGCCAATAAAAATAGAAAATGATGCTCATTATTACCAGAATTCAGCAAATTAAATAAGTTTTCTATTGAATAGACAAATATAAAAATTAATAATTGTTTTTGAAATTGTGAAGAAAGTAGAATTCTGAAATATGCATAGAAAATTGACCTTCTAGGGAAGTTTGGCAGTATTTACTCTTTTCAAATGTTGTACTTTTTTTTTTTTAAGTTTTATTTATTTTTAGAGGAATGGACGGAGAAAGAAGAGGGAGAGAAACAGCAATGGGTGGCTGCCTCTCGTGTACCTCTAACTGGGGACCTGGCCTGCAACCCAGGCATATGCCCTGACTGGGAATCAAACCCACAACCCTTTGTTTCACAGGCTGGTACTCAATCCACTGAGCCACACCAGCCAGGGCAAATGTTGTACCTTTTAATCCAGGATTCTACTAACTGAAATTTACCCTCGGAAATATCTGCACGATTTTAACAGTGGAAAATTGTCACCCATCCCACCATTCTTTTGACATTGTTTCTATAAGTGTTGACTCTGGCTAATATATAGCTTGTAGGTGAACAGAGTGTTTGTGTAAGAATCCTAGGAACTAACTTCAAATGATACAGACTCGGACCTTAAAGAATCCTGCTCCAGGAGATTTGCTGACCTTCAACCATGGAGCCAGGATGACTAAACCAGGATGATCTACACTGGACCATAACCTGTCTTATCAGAATAGATTATGCTAGTCTGCAGAGAGGGAACTTTTCAGCCCCACTCCCTGACCTCTCTGTTCTGTTTCCCTCTCCCTCATAAAATGTCTGCCTCCACTGAGAGGTGGAGATGGGTTTGAGACATGAGTCCCCCATCTTCCTGATGGCTGGCACCTGCTAATAAACTACTTTCCTTTACACGAGCACCGGCCTCTCAAGTAGTGGCTTTCATAGAGGCAGGCAGCTGGACCTGTTTCCAGTTACATAACTATGTAATATCTCCCTAATTATACAAACTTAGAAATAAAAGCCCATAACTCGTTATTAAGATATAACTTATATTTTTAACTATAGTTAATATATATTTATAGAATGAAGTGTTATGAGAACTATAAAAATGATGGTGCAGCTCAATATTTACTGACATGGAAAGATATGACATATTTACAACATTGCTATTAGTAAATGAAAACATGTAGACTACACAGTATCAAAAATGAGTTTATTCTCATAAAAATTATTTACCTACATCAAAAATATACTGTAGGTGAATAAAGATATGAAACCAAAGTTAGTTGGGATAATCACTATTACAGTGATGATTATTTTATTTTTTTATATATTTGTAATTTTTTGTAAAAACATGTTAACTTTATAATCAGGGAAAAATAAAGTTAAATATCTTTGATACTGTTAAATATGTTAATATTTACCTTTTTTTAAAGCTTCCAGAATGAATGAAAGGTTTTCAGCAAAGCTTCCCTGAGTAACAAAAGAAAAACATACCATTAGTGAAATAAAGAATAGAGGGGCTCTCTGGCCCTTACACATTATATAGATACACTCTGTACCTGACTTAAACATTACACAGACATTCTACATATTTTTTATGATCAATTAGAGTCATGACCAGATTTTCAGCTGAATATCACTATGCTTACAATCTAAAACTTAAATATAAAAGCAAAATGACATAGCACTGAAAATGGCATTACTATGTTCAAAAGTTTATATTTTCTGGATAAAACCCATAAAAATTTAATGTTACAGGTAATTTTTAACAGTTGTTATATTAACATAGTTAGAGAACTAGAAATCCATTGCAGTTTGCATCTTCAAACACATCAGGTTCTTACAAGTCTCAAATTAATCTCGAACACTAAAATAATGACCATGAATTTAAATGAGATCCAAAAAGAAAAGGGAGAAGAAATTTGTCTAAATTATTAGATACCATAATAGTGCATCTCTATTCAAGAGCATATTATAGAATTTGTATGTATCATATCAAATTTGGCTATGCTTACTTGGAGCACAGTCATAACATTTTTGGATACAACTTAAATATTCTAGATGGAAATTAAGAGAGTATCAGATGTATTATCCAGATGTCCCAGCTAGCAGATAAAGTCCCTGTTAAATATTTTTTCATTAAAGTCATTATACTTCAGATTTTTAAATTTAAAGAAATAGCCAACTTTAAATTTGAGGAGATGTAAAGGAAAAAAGAAACACTTGTTTGTTTCCTGGTCAAGAGAACTGATATAACATAATTTTTTAAGAACTTCCATATATTCTGTGATGATTGCATTCTGTCAAGTCAATACTTTTTCCAAGGTAGGCAGGGCTAAAGGTATTTTCCATAACATAAACAAAGGCTCAGAGGCAATTTGTTGGAAAATCAGTGGTCAAAGTTACTCAAAGACTGCTTAGCTTTTGGGTATTTTTTAAAAGACTATTTTACCACACATTAAGTATGTATGTATATATATATATAAATATACATATGTATGCATATATGTATAGAATACACAAATTTGCTATAAGCATATCAAAACAGAAAGGCTTTGGGTTAAGTGACTCAGGTTCTCAGTGTCCAGCCTTTGTCATTTTGGCTTTCAACAAGGTATTTATGCTCTCTGAGCCTCAATGGCTTAATCTATATAACGTAGAAATTAAATTAATAATCTTTATATGTGACAACTATGGTAACAAAGCTGATGACCAGGATGATAAACAACTGTGAATCCAATATACAGAGGTCCACTAAAGAAAGTCAGAAACACCGATCTACCTCACTTGGAAATCCAAAAGCCAAACAGAGCCTCTACAATAGTAACTCTCCTAGACCAAGTAGACAATGATTTTCAACATTAAAGCCTAACAGAAGGTAGAACATTGGAGTTATAGAAGGGGCATTTTGAACTTGCACTTCAGAGACTTACAAACAATTAAAGAGTAACACATGATTGCCTCAACTTTTTATAGATAATTACAAAAGAATGAATTACTAAATGCAAGGAGGTTTTCACAATGATGACTGTAGCTGCATTTGAGTACACAGTTTAGAGATTTAGAGTGATAGCACTGCATGATTACTAGTGACCAGAAAATGAATTAGAAGGTATGAGGGGAGCCCCCAAAACCCCAGAATTATTTTTTAGAGGGCGGGCCCCTTGGAGTACATGATTCCCCGACTAGGTTTAGTGTTCTAGAAACCCATCTGTATCAGTGTATCAGCTGGCGTTGTTTTGAGAGGCTGCGTTCTTTCAACTTGTTTGCCCGTTTCACAACAGGACATTTACGAGCTCACCTGCCCACACCACACCTAGTGGTCACCAGTTTTTGATCAAAAAACATCATGACCTCTGTGCCCACCCTCCCCATTTACCTGATCTCACCCCAGAGACTTATTTTGTTTCCTTATGAAAAAAGTCCTCAAAGGGAAACATTTTGCCTATGTGGAAGAGGTGAAACAAATACAACAAGAGCACTAAAAGGCAGCAAAATATATGACTTCAAAAACTATTTTGAGCAGTGGGAAAAAAGGTCTCAATAGTTCAACTGCACCAAATGGAGAGTACCCTGAAGGTCACTGAAGTTAAACACACAATCAATTTTTTAAAATAAATTGGTTTTTTTGGGTCCCCACTTATATACAACTCACTTCAAATGTATAAGCAGAATGAAGATAAGTCATTTCATTACAAAAATTAAGGCAGCTAAAAATTAATTATTCTTCCCTTAAGCCCTATAAATCAAGTAATAGGTAAAAAGATTTTAAAAGTTTGAAAACATTTCTAATCACTTTCTCTTAAGCTATTGATGTTCACTGTTCTAGATTCTAAGCTAATATAATACTGACGTATTGGTAAGTTTCTGAAAACAGTTTAACAGTACCAGATAACTGACATTAATATAGTATATTATCATCAAATATCTTTTCTTAAAACAGATGTTTAATGTTCTTTGTGAAGTAAGTTCAAAGAAGCCCATTTAACAGATCAGGAATCTGATATGCAGGGGTATTCATTAATCATGGTCAACAGGCTGTAAGGCCAGAGTAAATCCACCTTTTTGTAGCTTCAAATACAGCACAGTTTCTGATATTCTCATGCTAACCAAGTCTCAGAAGACTACAAATAGACTACTAGAGTATTTTTAAAAACATTAATCTATCTCCAAAGAAAAAGAATCAGATTATTTATCTTACAAATAAAGAAACAAACTCAGATAAAATCTACATAAACTAGGTATTGATGAATAAATGCATCCTAGCATGTTACGCACTTTTACAACAAAAACCTCGCATATTTCAATTCAGAATCTCTGAACCCTCCCTAGCATTCCAAAAGTATAAAGCTATGATAACAGTTTTTACTTTGATGCATACTGAATAAAAGAATAGAAATGATACTTACAAAAACTCTATCTCCAACTACATTTTCCAGATTTAACTGCCTTGTGATTTCCTTTAGGGCTATTTTATCACTGGTCTGCAGCAGTCCTGAAATAAAGCCCATTTAAAAGTATTTAATTAAAATATGTATTTGACACAGTACAGATTATTTCCCAGTCAAAAATTTTTTCTAATGCTTTCTGAATTTAACTAGAAAAAAAATTAAAGACTGTGAGTTTGTATTTCTTTTTACAACTGAGCAATAAAGACATTTGGTAGATTCAAAGAACAAAGAAACATCTTCTTTGGAGTTAGTGTTATTAAAGAAAAAAGACAAAAACCAAAAGTCCTCATGTGCCTCCTTTATTTTTGTTTTAGTTTCTAAAAATATTGTGTACAGTGTCCTATATTAAGAATTGTTAAGCATAAGTCTAGTTTTTAAAATGTAATTCTTAATCTAAATTTAAAACATAAAGTGAATTTAGTTTCATAATATGAAAAGCTCACATGTTTTATCATTTCCAATTGCGAAATAATGACATACTTACCATTTAGGTGAACCTGTAATACATTTTCGCTCATGTCTTCTATCTCCATTAGTTCTTTCAAAGCATGGTTTATTAACTAAATAATATTAAAAAGTTTATAAAATATTTAATAATAGGTAAAGATGATATGCCCATATTTTTAAACTATAACAAATAGAAAAAGAACATAAACAGATTGTCACTTTAAATTAACAAATAAATTTGCAGATTCATTAGTTTCATTTGTGTAAGTTACTAGGTATACAGAGAAAGTCCTTATTACAGAAACTTAGTGCTTGCAATGAAAATATTATTACTATTAATGATATATTTATCATAACTACTAAAAATATACTAAACGTTAAACCACCTTAAACTGTTCAATTACAAAGCTTCACATTTTTATAATTAAAGGTTACTATTCCACCTGCTTATATTCTTTATACTTTTTGAATTGTGCCATCTTATCACTCATTAAAATATAATCTCTTTATATTAATACTGCATACACTTCTTAAAAATTTGAAAATGATAAAAATTTAAAAAGACAAAATAGCTTTTTAAAAGGAAGGGTAACTATTCTAATATAGTTACTGTTCTAATATTAAAATAGAAGGGTACTATCACAAAATAAATGTTGTAAGAAGACAGGCTCCATAAATTAAAAACACAAACAAACAAAGTTAAGATGGCATCAAAGTTTAGTGAGAACAAAAGGAATTATTTAAGAAAGGAACTGGGACAATTGGTAAACTATTTTGAAAAACAAAATACTATTTATACTTTCAACAGTCTATTCTCTAGCAGTTACTATAACATCTTTGTGCAATAGGAAGAGCAAATAGCCTCATTTTAAATTATTAAGTTTCACAACAGGACATCAAACATAATAGCTATTCCTTGTTTATCTGTACAGTTTTTAAGCATATGGAATTCTACCTTAAAATATAAAACAGGTAGTGCAGGTACTCTTTAAAAGGACAATCTCAATATATCAACTCTCATTCTATGTATAAAAGCCCAGCTGAGATATGACATTCTTTATAAAGAACTGTCAGAAGATAAGGTGATGCTTCTCTTCCTTTGGGTCAAGTCAGACCTTACTACAAGAGTTAGTCCCCAGATGATACAAACGTGGGCTCTCAAAATATGGCCTTTGCAATATTTTTTTAGTAATCTGCTATGTTATTGTCCCCACCTTTTGATGTTACATTTATATATCCCTGGCTCTGATTTTATGTATTAAGTTTGATGATTTGGAAACCATTTCAAATGCTTTGCAGAACGAAATAAGGTTAATATTAGTATTTTCACTTTTCACAGGTATAAAAAGTTGTAATGGGTCTATAGAGCACTTTTTCCACGTAATTTACTTCAAGTTATGATTTGCCTAGGTCAACTCATAGCTTTTTTATGGTGGGGCAGAGGTGTGGTCTGAAACTATAATTTAAATGTATTAGCAAGTTCGTCTTCAAATAATTTTTGTTCCAATTTAAATACTGCCAAAATTTACTGTGTAATTAGGGATGTAACCAATCATATAATTTAAGTCAGTTTTTTATGGACACAATGTCACCTTTTCAAGTATTTTAAACTATATTTTATACTAAAAAAATTAGTTGGTTACAAATGTTACATCAGCCAGTATTACCAATTTGGCTACCCAATTTCCACATTCTTTGTAGCTAAAATTTAATTTTACAAATGTACAAGCAGAGTTTGCTTAGATCTGCCAGTATCTAGGGATTTTTATGCTTACCTATTACAATTTCCAAATACTTTAATGAACACAACATTCAGCAATACGCAAACAGAAGTAACATCAATTAGAAGAAACAGCTGCTTTACCCATCATATAAGTTTATTTGTCTACAGAATTTCTATATGTGAGTTATTTACCAGGGTTCAATCTGTCATTTGGAACTTTATTTTTTTTTTCAAGTAAAATGTTTGAAGTACAACAAACCACACTATCTATAATCTTTATCAATGAACTGTAAATTCTGGACTTTTGCATTTCAGACAGGCCAAGAGTAATGTCTTAAATACTCTGTAATCTTATTTTTAAATTTGAATTTACATAATTATATTAATGACCATGCCTATGTATGAGTAACCCATTTTATATCTTAGGATAATCTCACACAAAGCAAATTACAAAGTGACACAGTTAAACAACGCTCCTCAGTTTTCTGACCTCTCAATACTGGAGTGCAGTAGAAATAAATTACACTGTACCAAAATGAAATACCAAGTAAGGAACTCTTCCATATTCCAGTGAAGTTCACTAAATAAATGACTTCAAAGTATAACCCTAGTAAACATTTACGCACCCAACAGAGAAGCACCTAAATATGTGAAGCACATCTTGATGGACATAAAGGGAGAGACATCAACAGAAATACAGTCATTGTTGGGGTTTTTAACACCCCGTTGACTTCAATGGATAGATTTTCCAGGCAGAAAGTCAACAAGGAGACAGTGACCTTAAATGACACACTAGAACAAATGGATTTAATTGTTATCTTCAGAGCATTTCACCGCAAAGCAGCAGAACATACATACTATTTTCTAGGATAGACCACATGTTAGGACACAAATCTCAGTAAATAAAAGATTTAAATCATATCAAGTATCTTCTCTGACCACAATGATATGAAACTAGAAATCGATCACCAAAAACTACACAAAGACATGGAACTAAATAACATGGTATTAAACAATGAATGAATCAACAACAAAATCAGGGAAGAAATAAAAAGACTGATTAAAACAAATGAAAATGAAAACACAACAACCCCAAATCTGTGGGACAGAGGGAAAGCAATCCTAAGAGGAAAAGTCAAAGCATTACAGACTTATCTCAAGAAATCAGAAAAAGCTGAAATAAACAATCTAACTCTACACTTAAACAAATTTTAAAAAGAACAAACAAAGCCAAAAGTGAGTAGGAGGAAGGAAATAATAAAGATCAGAGTAGAAATAAATGAAATAGAGTCTTAAAAAAAAATTATATAAGAAATCAATGAATCAAGGAGACGGTTCTTTGAAAAGATAAACAAGATTGACAAACCTTTTAACCAGACTCATCAAGAAAAAAAAAGAGGATCCAAATAAATAAAATCAGCAATGAAAGAGAAGAAATAACAGCAGACACCAGAGAAACACAAAAGAATGTAAGAAATTATTATGAATAACTATATGCCCACAAACTGGACAACCTGGATGAAATGGATAAATTCCTAGAAACATACAATTCTACAAAACTAAATAAGGAAGAATCAGAGAATCAGAATAGACAGATTATACATAGTGAAATAAATGTGATACAGTACATAAACAAAATGAAGGATAAAAACCACATGATCATATCAATAGATGCAGAGAAAGCATTTGAAAAAATCTAGCACCCACTTATGATAAAAACTTTCAATAAAGTGGGAATAGAAGGAACATACTTAAACATAAGAAGACAATATATATCAAACCCACTGCAAGCACCATATTTAACAGGAAAAAACTACAAGTGTTTCCCTTAAAATCAGGAACATGACAGGGATGTCTGCTTTCATGAATCTTATTCAATATAGTACTGGAAGTCCTAGCCACAGCAATCAGACAAGGAAGAATGTAAGGCATCAAAATGGAAAAGGAGGAAGTAAAATTGCCCTTATTTGCAGATGACATGATATTGTACATAACGAACCCTAGAGACTCCACCAAGAAAGAACTAAAACTGAAAAATGAATTCAGCAAAGTAGCAAGATACAAAATTAATATCCAGAAATCAAGTTGCATTTTTGTAAGCCAATAACGAAGTACCAGAAAAGGAAACCAAGAAACAATCATGATTGTTTCAAAAAGAATACCTAGGAATAAACCTAACCAAGTATGTAAAAGACCGGTACTTGAAAAATAAGACACTGAAGAAAAAAAATTGAAGACACAAATAAGTGGAAGCACATATGGTATTTATGGATACAAAGAATTAAATCATTAAAATGTCCATGCTACCCAAAGCATTCTATAGATTTAATGCAATTCTTATAAAGATTCCAATGATGCATTTCACAGAAATAGAATAAATATTTAAAAAATTTTATATGGAACCACAAAAGGCCTCACACAGCAACAGCAATCCTGAGAAAGAAAAACAAAAGTGGAGGAATCACGCTATCTAATACCAAACTGTACTATAAGGCCTTAGTAATCTAGACAGCATAGCACTGGCATAAAAACAGACACATAAATCAATGGAACAGAATCAAGAGCCCATAAATAAACCCACAACTTTATAGTCAATTTATATTCGACAGAGGAAGCAAGCACATACAATGGGCTAAAGACAGTTCATTCAATAAACGATGTTGGGAAAACTGGATAAATACATGCAGAGAAATGAATATTGCTTGAGAGATATTTTTACTGATGTATCTCCTAGGCAAGGGAAACAAGAAAAAAATAAACAAATGGGACTACATCAAACAAAAAGTTTTTGCACAGCAAAGGAAACCAACAAAATAAAAAGACAATGCATGGAGCGGGAGAGCATATTCACTGATACATCTGATAAGGAGTCAATATCCAAAAATTATAAAGAACTTAACAAAACTCAACACCAAAAAAGCAAACAATCCAATTAAAAAAATGAGCCAAGGACATGAATAGACACTTCTCCAAAGAAGACATGTAGATGGGCATGAGACATATTAAAAAGATGCTCAACCTCACTAATTATTAGAGAAATGCTAATTGAAACCTCAATGAGATATCCCCTCATACCTGTCAGAATAGTTATCATTAGTAAATCAGCAGACAAATTCTAGCGAGGATATGGTGAAAGGGGAACCCTCCTGCACTGTTGGTCTGAATGGAGATTGGTGCATCTGCTGTGGAAAGCAGCATGGAGACACCCCAAAACATTACAAATGCATGTGCCTTTTGACGCAGCAATCCCACTTCTGGGAACTTATCCCAAGAAATCCAAAACACTAATTTGAAAGAATGTAAGCATTCTATGTTCACTGCAGCCTTTTTTACAATCATCAACATATGGAAGGAGCCCATCACTAGATGAAAGGATAAAACAACTATTGGACATTTATATAATAGAATACTACTTGGCCATAAAAAGAATGTTTTCCCCTTTGTGACAGCATGGATGGACCTAGACATTATTATGCTAGGTGAAATAAGCCAGTCAGAGAAAGACAAATACCATATGATTTCACTCATATGTGGAATCTAATGAATAATCTGAACTAATAAGGAAAACAGAGATAGACTCATAGATAGAGGGCAGGAAGACAGCTATTGGTGGGGGTGGGGGATTTAGAGGGTGGAAGGATTGAGCAAAAAAGGAAAAAGAACTCATGGTCATAGACAACAAAGTGGTGATTTTGAGGGTGGGGGGGAGAGTATTTGTGGGATAAACAGTAACAGAAAAAAAAATACAACAAAAATTAATCATTAATTAGTGGAAAAGCAATGAGGTCCTACTACAAGAATGGATAAAATTTTTTTAAAAAATGACAATACAAAATGCTGGTGATGATACACAACAATAGGAACTTTCATTCAATGCTGGTAAGGAGCAAAATGGTATAACCACTCTGAAAGAGAGTTTGGCAAGTTCTTACAAAGCTAAAAACACAGTATTACCATATAATATAACAACTGGTACTCCTATGTACTGGTCCACTTAAAATCTTACACACATGTGTTTAGAGTAGCTTTATTCAAATTTCCCAGAATCAGAACAGACCAAGATATCCTTCAATAGGTGAATGGATAAACAGTAGTATACTCATACAACGCATTTAAAAAGAAGTGACCTGCCAAGCCATGAAATGACATGGAGGAACTTTGAATGTGTATTGCTAAGTGGAAGAAGACAATATAAAAAAGCTACATAATGTATGATTCCAACTATACGACATTCTGAAAAAGGCAAAAGTATGGAGGCGGTAAAAAAAAATCAGTGGTTGCCAGGGGTTGGGGTAGGAGGATAAACAGGTATAGCACAGGGGATTTCTTAGAATGGTGAGCTACTCTGTGTGACACCGAAAGGGTGGTTATATGACATGTGCATGTTAAAACCCATAAAATTGTACAACACAAATGGTGAACCTTAATGTAATGATAACATATCAACAGCAATTCACTGTAACAAATATGTCATGCTAAGGCAAGATGTTAATATTAATAAGAGGGGAAACTGTGCATGTGTGTGTGTTGGGGGTCAATACAGTAACTCTGTACTATCTGCTTACTTTTTTTTGGTAAAAATTCATCTATTTTAAGCCAATTTTCTGATGAAATTGAGTAGTTACAATTTGTATTTACTTACCCATTTTTATAAGTTTTACTGGCTCTATTTTGGTTTTTCCTTTTTCCATGCCTTCAGTGACAAACTTCCAAGGTGAAGTTCAGAATAAATTCAGTCACACTTTGAGGTACAAATCACTGAGATTCAGCTTTCCTGTTCTAATGCCATATTGCGTCAAGATGCATAGATCTAATGCACTGATTTCCTAGATCGCCTTTCCTTCTCTACTGATTGATAACAAAAGTATCACTATGAAACTTCTTGAAGAATTAAAGTATTATCTAAAAATGTTCTTCAAACATTAGTATGATATCTTTTCCAGATATAGTAAAATAATGTAAACTGGAGGGAGAAGAAAATTACCTTTTACTGAAGAAAATATCTAAATTCGTATTATGAAGATTTGCATAGTATCAGTTTTTATAACCAACACTTAGATTATAACCCGTGAAATTTTCACACTGCTAAGATAAAGAAACTCTATGAGCACCCAGACCTGGAAAAATCATACATGAACTCTAAACAAGTTAGCTGGGTGGTCTTCAGTGACATTAACCAAATACTTCTGATTAACCTCCCTTCTAGGCACCTAAAAAGAAAGCACTTCCTTGCATAGGTCTATATTCCCAATTTATGTATTTGAAACAATATTGGAAATGGGTGATAACACTACAATCTTAAAGTTCTAATTTTCTCATCTTTCATAATAGAGTCAATACACATTGTTTAAAAAAAACACAATTTTACTTCTGTTTTACATAATTTTACTTAATATGTAATTATAACATAATTTTACTTTTACAGGATTAAAATATATGTTAGTGAAAACCCTAAATTCATTGTATGGAATATAGTAGAAAACAGATTTTACATAGCCCAACTATTTAAAATTAAATAGAATAGTAATACTCTCGAAGTGACAAACATAGTTTGTCTCATATAAGACTGAATAAAGAATGTGAAAAGAGAAGATGAGGGGAAAAAAGAAAGAACATATTTTTGAGGTAACTAAGCAAATATGATAATGAGGCACAGTAGAAAACAAATCTAAAAAATGTGAATGGACATATGAAAAATTGAGCTGGGTTGAACAATACACAATAAATGATAAGAGAAAAAAGAATGCTTGGTGTGATAGTTACCTAATCTATAAACAGGGACAATACCTACGTTATTGGGTAAGTAAACAATAAGTGACAGAACACAGATAAAAGGCACAAGGTACATGTTCAAAAATGCTAATTTTCATTTTCCACTGGCAATCATTAATTCTTCAAGGACAAAAGACCATGATAAAACAAACATCAATTAAAAATTTGCTACTGTGGGGAAAAATAAGGTAAAAAAGATATGCTCAATTCAAATATATAACCCTCACTTTATAAGGTTTTGCATGTCTTCAATGATTTAAGGAAAAAAGCAAAGTGTTAATAACAAAATAATAAAAATAATGAAACACATTTTAGTGTTATCTACAGGAACCATCCCAAGACTATCAAAATAAAGAAAACACCAGAACTAAACAGCTTTACCATAGTTTTTCCTGATCCTCGGGGTCCAATGATGAGAACAGAGTTACTTTCTCCATGGATAGCAGTTCTTTTTAGCAGCTCAATTAAGTGTCTAAAATGACATACACAGGCCAAAGTTTAAAAAGCTGGAATAATTTCTGGGTATTACGTTTTCAAAGCTAAATTTGAATATGCATAGAAAATAGTCATTCCTTTTTTCTTTCCCTCTGGGCACCTGCCTTAATGCTCTAAATAGCCCTACACGGAACACAGAAAAGACTGTTGGCTAATACTGACTCTCTAGAAACCTCAGGAGGAAATCAAATAAGTTTGAATTATCTTGGTTTATATGACAGACAACAGTGACAGCTCTTATAACCTTTTACTCCACAACTGGCTGCCATGTACTACGTACAAGAAGCTTGGAATTATCTCCATAATTATCAGATAATAGAAACACTAAAAGTTAAAAGTTTTTCTCATTATAAAAATAATTTCTCTCTCTCTTACTTCATGATATTCAATGCTTCCATATCCAAAGCAAAATTTTTTGTTCATTAGCATTAAGATAATACTTGTATATGATAATTTCTGCAAAATCTAAAGGGCGCCTATAAAGTATATTAATAACAAACAAGGGAATAGCTACACTTACTTATATTGTACTTGTACTCCAAATAGGTTGCTGTGTGGACTCTGATGACAAAATCTTTCACGTAAAATTCTTTGTACCTGATGAAAATAAAGTAGATGAGTATTAATAAAAATATTATCCATTCAATAAGAAACTAAGAAGAATATACATTTATAGCAATCAGAATTAGTTATTAATGAAGCAGTTCAAACCTTGCTAAATAACTGTTCTTTAAGAGCTCTGGCACCATTTTAATGAGTTATAAAATTATTTCTTTCTACTTATCTTAAGTTCCAGAGAAAAGATAAAAATTTGGTTGTGAAGGTTTCAGTAAGAGAGAGAGTTACTTACTTTGGCTATATCAGCAATTTGAGGGCATTTTTTACTGCATGTGAATGATTGAATACTTCACTGTGCAACATGTCAGACAAGGAACAAAGACAGGAAGTAATCTAATAATGTAAGCTAATCTTGTAATGCTTATGCACCACACCTCAATTTCTAGAGACCAACACATCTAAACTGGCTTAGCTCAAGCCCTACCAATGTGTACCTGCCACAGAGGTCAAAATTCTGAGGAATAAAATAAGTTTAAAAGTCCATATAGTTACTGAGAACCTATTAGATGCAGAGCACAATACTACTAAAGAGCATGTCCCATGTTTAAAAAATAAAAAAGCAAATATAGTGGATAGAAAGGACCATTTAAGAAACAACCTTCAAAGAAGTAGTTAACAGCATATAAGAAATGCTCAATTATACAATTGATATCACATTCATCTAGACTATAAAATAAAAAATCACTGGAATAAATTATGAAAAAAATTCTTGTAAAGAACTGAAATCTGAAGTCATCATACAATGAAGGACTTATACTTTGTTGTAAAAATTATGTTGGAAAATACAGCACATTCTTTAAAAAGATGGACCATTAAAGACATTCCTTTTCAGCATCTACTGCTAATGCAGAGGTCCTCCAGGGACACAAACCTTAGGAAGCTCCGTGAACAGCAACAAGAAGGCTTGAAAATTATTTATTTTTCCCTGACCGAGAGCATGGGACTGATTCTTCATATACCGAAGAGATAAATGAGTTCTCTTTATATGCACTGAGTATAAATAAAAGAAAATTATTCACTGGGAATAAAATAATCTATAGTTATCATTACAGAGGAAGTGAAAAGAAAAAAAGGACTGGTGCCAGAAAGGTATTTTAAAGTTAGCTTTTTCTAAATCTTAAAATCTATAAAATAAATACACTAATATTTTTCTGACCAGCCTGTTTTTCAGATTAAATAAGGCAGCCATCTCTAACACAATATAGGGATTGGATAGGTAATAGCTGATACCTGTAAAAACACTTAAATGAGCATATATGGAGACTCAACTAACTGTAATGTTTATTCCTTTACCTAGATAAGATCGCTAGGCATCCAAACAGAAATATCAATCCTTTTGTTTCTTCATTAAAGTCTACTTAGAGAGGGAACAACTATGTATAAAATATAAGACAGGGATAAAGTGAAGTGAAGCTATAATAAGTAGCCAGAGGTGCAAAAATCCCAAAGTAATCTAAGGTAGAGGTTATATAAATGTAGATATGTACAGAAATTAATGAAGCTGTACATAAATTTGTATACTTTATGAGGATATGTAAATTATACTTGTTGAAAAAAAATTTTTTTGAACAGTTAAACATTTTCCTTGAAAAATAAAGGTCTTTAAAAAAGAAATGCTAATACCATTTACTTTTAATTTAAAATTAATGTAGTTCTGATCAAGCCAAATAAATAGAAAAGGTAGAATAGAAATACCACACCCATTCCCTATTACACTCCTTAACAGAGATATGTATAGATATATGCTTAGCACTTCAAATACACTATGAACTTGTATTAAATGCTCATGATAGCCCTGGCCAGGTAGATTAGTTGGTTAGAACATTGTCCTAATACTCCAAGGTTGCAGGTTCAATCCTTGGTCAAGGCATATACAAAAATCAACTAATGAATGCATAAATAAGTAGAACAAAAAAATCAATCTCTGACTCTCAAAAACCAATCAATAAATTAAAAAAAAACTTTTTAAATGTTCATTATAAAGACATTCAACATTCCAGCAATATAAGGGAATTTCCTCATTGTGATAAAGGGCATCTATAAAAACCTACAGCTAATATTCCATGGTTAAAGGCTAAATAGATTTCCCCAGTATCAAAACCAAAACCAAAACCAAAATGTCTTCTCTTGCCCTCTTTATTCAATATTGTACTAAAGGTTTTAGTCAGAGCTTCCAGATTGGGAGGGAAGATATGAAACTATTTCTACCTGATCATATATATATAAAATCCTAAAGATTAAAAAACTATTAGAACTAATAAATGAGTTCAGCAAGGTTGTACGATACAAGATTAATATACAAAAATCAACTGCATTTAGATACCTTAGCAATGAACAAATAAAAACAAAAACAACTTCAGTTATAACAGCATCAAAAGGAATAAAAAACAGGAATAAATTTAACCAAAGAAGTACCATCAGAACACACTCAGAAGACATAAGTTAGGATCCCAACTATCCAAAGACTTACAAAGAATGAAAACAAGAAGAAACATAAGACATTCTGCCCTTAACGACGGAAAGGATGATTCCTTATAAGTGCTAAGGGGAGAAGATGGCCCTGGCCAGATGGTTCAGTTAGTTGGAATGTCATCCCCAACTCCAAAAGTTTGCAGGTTTGATCTCAGGTCAGGGCATGTACTGGAGACAAATGACTGATGTTTCTCTCTCACATTTTCTCTCTCGCCCCTCCACTTCTCCTCTAACATCAATAAATATATCCTCTGAGGATTAAAAAATAAGATGACTATTTCTCTGAGGACCTTTGCATGGTAACAAACCTTGAGATTAGTGAAAATATATACTAACCTGTGAAATGTATTCTGCATGTATTAAACTGTTATTCTTTGACTTACGACTGCTCATTTCAACAAAGTGAAATCCTTAAAGAGAAATAATAAAAAGTTTTAGCATGAATAGAAGACTGCTGGCTTAAAGAAAATTATTTAAGAATTTACCATTATAGAATCAAATTGAACACACATTTTAAAACATGAAAAATGTACAAATTTCTCAAACTTTAAATTCTCAGCTGAACCTATTATAGTAATCATTTCACAATATATGTAAATCAAACCATCATGCTATAAACCTTAAATTTATACAGTAATATGTCAATTTTCTCAATACAACTGGGGAGAAAGAAAATCTCAGTGGCTACTCTTTGTCTAAGTGAAGGCTTATTTGATACTCCCATACCACACTTTATATATGGCTCTTACAGAAAACTTACTCCTACTACCTTTCCCTTCAATTTACTATTTGCCTTTCTTTAAAAACAAACAAACAAACAAAAAAAATATATGCTTACTTAATATAGAATGTTTCTCCCCACATTCATCCCATAGAAACATCCTAACCCAAAAACCTTGGTTTTCTTGATCAATCATAGTCACTACACAGGAAGTAAATAAAATGCCTCTTCTGTAAACATCCATAACTGCCTGTATTTCTCTTTAACCATAATCAAACTACATTAAACAACATTTTCTATTTAATTACAAGAGTCCCCAAATTGAAGATATTTAAAGATTCCAAGTATTTTAGCATAATGTCCAAAATAAAGTTAGCAACAACTGAAATGAACATATATATACTAATTAAAAAAACTTAAAATTCTCCCTGAAGGTACCATACTCATTGATAACACCTATGGCTGAAAGATCTAATTTTCTTGTAGGAGTACAAGAATACTAGTAAGAGTATTTTACTAGTCAAGTAATAACGGCTTAATCAGTGTTTGTTTATGAAACATCAATTGTTACAAGTATGTTGCATTTATTAAATCATTTAATTCTCAAAATAATCCTATGGAATAAGTACTATTACAACACTTATTTAAGATTGGAGTATGTAAAAAGTTAAGTTAACTTGACCAAAATCAAACAGCATTTAAGTCATACAGCCAGGATTTAATCCAAAGTTATACTCAGTTATATACAATATAGTTATTATATATAATTACATGGTTATATATAACTGTTACTTAGACAACTGTTTTAAAAGGTACAAATTTCAATAATGTGAAGGCAGAGCAGCCATAGTGACAATATTATACAGGGTCCGGCAGAAGTAACACCTCTGAGTGTGGTTGGGAGGATATGTGAATGTCTTGCACGAGAGAGTGATATCTTTTGAACATTTCAACTAAAATGCCATATGGTGTGCTTGAGTGTGATATTGTTATGTTACAGAATTACATGCTTATGATTTTGTAATAAAAGATTTTTATGTAATAAAAAAGGGGCATTATTTGTGCTTGACCCTGTATTTTATATTCACATTTGTTAATTTCACATACTGACAACTAGATGCCAGCCTGGGAATGCAATCTTTTTTCCTTTGGAAATGCTAGCAGATGAGCAAGGCCTTGATAGATAGATGGAGAGCAAGCAAATCTGTCTTCCCCTTTATGTATGAGACCTGTATCCAAAGCATAAAACCCCAGAGGGCTTCTGGCTCCAGGCTCCCAAATTGGAAACTGAAGAGTACTCTAGATGTCCTATCCCTTAAGAATCTTCTTTCTTAGGAGAAAAGTATTTTTCTCGGCTGCCCTGGGACATTTCCAGCAGCCTCTTATGTCTACACAAGGCACTTTGCTTGAGAATCTTTACATTAATTATTTTTATTTTATTCTATGTATTTTATTTATTTATTTTTTACCTTAAATGAGTGCTGTGTGTGGGGAAAAACCCTTTTAGCAATATGAAATAACAGCCTCTGGTTTAAAATACTCTTGACTTTAAAAAAGGTCTACAAGTTGACATCTGAAATTACAGAAGACTGGGTTCAAGTCCTTGAACAACTTCCCCTAAACGATATGGAAGACTAAATATTTAAAAAGTGGGGGATAGCTTTTGCAATATGCTTTATTTATTTTGATCTATTTCACAGTATTATTGGAATTAAAAACATTTCCTCCCATTTCATGGATTAAGAAAACATTGCTCAGAAAAGCTAAGTAAAATGTCTGAGGTTGCAGGGCAGGTGTTTAATCTGCCTCCTTGCAACAAATGTTAGGTCAGGTAAGGCATTGAAAGCAGGCACTTTTCTTCATTTGGGATCATCCATGAAAGAAACATATGCACTCCTTTAGTTCCTGAATCAGAATTTACAAAATTAAAAGATTAATTAGTCAAAAGATTAATTTTAATACATCTTGCCTCTCCAAGTAACAGTCAAATCTCTGTAACAAAGAATTTAAAAGGCAATTCTAATTTTAGAGATGAAAAAATAAGCTTCGGACTTAGAGAAAATATTTGCAAACCACATATTTGACAAAGGACTTACACATATAAAAACATCTTCAAAGCTTAACAATAAAAAAACAATTAGAAAAATAAGACATAAATAAACTTTTCACCAAAGAGGGTAAATGGATACTAAATAAATATATGAAAAGATGTTCAACATCATTAGCCATTAGGAAAATGCAAATTAAAATGAAAATGAAATATTAATACACACCTATTAGAACAGCCAAAATGGGAGGGGGAAAGGAGAACACTAAATGCTGTAAAGGAAAACTGGATTTCTCATGTAACTACTGGTGAGAATGTGAAATGGTATTAGCTACCCTACAAAGTTTCTTTCTAGGAATTTCTTAAAAAATTAAACATACAGTCAACATGCAACACAGAAAGGAAAACTTATGTTCAACCAAAGCCTTAATACAAATGTTTATAAGAAGTTATCTTGTAATAGCCAAGACTGGAAACAATAAAGCCAGTGCGGTTAAGGAAACTCTGAAACATCCATACAGAGAAATATAACTGAGAAAAAAAAAAAGCAGTAACTATTGATATATGCAATAATTTAGGTGGCTCTAAAGAGCATTATGCTCATAAGAAAAAAAGAACGAATCTCAAAATTTGCATTTTATGAGATTCCATTTGAATCACATTCCTAAAACAACAAAACATTTAGAAATGAACAGAATTGTGGTAACTAGGAGACAGGGACAGGGTTGAGGGTTGGGTATATCTATAAAGGGGTTTGCATGAGGGATTTTCTTTGTAATGATGGGACAGTTCTCCATTTTTATTGTGGTTGTAGTCACACAAATCAATACATAGGATCAAATCACAGAGAGAAAAGCAAAAATGAGTTCAAGCAAAAACTGCTAAAAACTGAATAACATCTGTCATCTAGTTAGGTGGTTCCAGCCTTTTTGGCACCAGGGACAGGTAAACCTGGGAGGTGAGGGGTGGTGTGCAGAAGTGGTGTTCACATTAGCTTTGCTCTTTAGCCTGCTGTGGATAGGGGGTGGGGAGACAGGAGACAGAGCTAAAGAGAGCTTTGCTCACAGCCTGTTTCTAATTGCAGACCTGTACCAGTCAGAGGCCCGGGGGGGGGGGGGGCGGGTGTTGGGGACCCCTGGTCTAGTTAACAGCTGTGTAACAATGTAAATTTCCTGGTTTAACTACAGCACTTCAGTTGAATAAGATGTCACCCTTAAGAAAAGCTTGGTGAAGGATTTACTGGACTCCATATACTATTTTTGCAACTTCTGTGAGTTTATGATGATTTCAAAATAAACAGTTTAAGAAAAAGATAATTCTAATTTTATAGTTTTAAAAAACTGCTGAATGACCAAAAAAGTGATTAGTGGTACAACCGAATCTCTATTATCTACAAATAGATTGAGTAAGCCTGTTTGAATTTTTCGTCAAATTATACCACAGGATCCTGGGGTAGCTCCTTCCACTTCCTACTGTGCTTTCTATACTATGATTTTACTTACTATTCTAATAGTAGGACCAGACATAAAGTGTAAGAGCAGCTGAATGTCTATGCATGACTAAGTGATTACTCAACGTTGGTATCAAATATGAACCTAAGTAACTACAATTATTTCATTGTAAAGAACTTGGTAGTAGCTACTATTACTTATTCATACTGTTACAAGGGACAGTGAAATGGGTGATCCCAAGAAATGATTTATCCTGAGAGTAACTTCTTTAGCTTCTACACTTGCTATAGTATCAATTTCCAATAGATCCTTCTCTCTAAATTATGTTCTGCTAGAGTAAATAAACCTAATAATCAATCTCAGCATTTCAAGTAACAACATCTATCTTACTGCTTTAAAAACTTGAACCCAAACCACTTCTGCCACTAGCTGCTTCTACCTCACTTTAGATTATTTCTTGACTGGAAATCTATGACATCATCTTTATTGGTCTCCAAGTCTTACCTCATTTGTGATACCATTTTCATGTAACACCCTTTTCCAACCCCCAAAAGTCTAAACTCCAAATTCCCTAACATTTAAAAGGAATGACTACTTCCCCTAACTAACACACTAGTTCCTCCTCTTAATACTCTGCCTGGAACAATCGACATTCCCTGTACTTCCTTCCAACCTCAGATTTTAAGATGAAACATTATTTCCTCTGGAATATGTTCGGTGACACCCCTAAACACTCCTATACTCTGGCAAAAGTCTTAGGTTTATGTGTCCTAAAGTACTTTGAGGATATATGCAATCTTCCTTTCTTTCACAGAACTTAACTAGCACACAGTAACATAACTAACTCTGTGTTTACCTATCTGTTTGCTCCACTGGACCACAGGATCTGAAAAAAAATTATGCCGTCATTGCATTCAAGCCAACTAGTGAATGTTGGCATACAGATAGTTTTCAAAACAATATTTGATAACTGAGTAAATGCTAGACAGTGGAGCATGGCTTTTTTGACAGCTAGAGGTAACCTAGAGGTAACCTAGAGGTAGGCTGGGTTAAATCACCTGCTTAGCTAAAGTTTAAATTTTCAAATAATTACATGCCATAACCCTAAAAGAAAAAAAAAAAGGTATAAAAGTACAGTGACAGGAGTAACAGTGTAATTTATTTTATAATTCGAGTACAATACATACAGTG